TTTATATGAAAACTATGAGACAACAGCCTTCCTACTTCTTGAGTCCTATGCTTTTGTCTATATGCTGTGGTTATATGATGAATTACTACATTGCCAGCAACGGCCCAACAATACAGAATGCAGTCTCATCGGAAGGGTGAGGCCATCTACTGGATCGCGTCTGATATCCCATTATACAGCTCTAGTGAAATGTATCTTTCAGATCAAAAATCAAACCTAATTTGGACATCTATTAGTAGGCCCTGATAGTGAGAAATATGAAAGAAACTATTTATTTGGATCCAGGGAAGAGATCTCCACATCTAAGTCTTATATAGCAAGGAAAAAGATGATATCAGCCATGCATAAACAGGTCACAAACTAGAAAAGAATTAGAGCCAGAAAACATAAATGAAATTTGAACTGACTCTTTGGGGTGGGATTCATTTTAGGAAAAAGGACAGGAACAAAATAAGGTATATGACTTAATAAGCTAATTATCTATCAAAGAATCAGAAACTTGTACTTTGTAAACTTCATTCTTCTGTGTCTTTTATTTTCTTAATTTCCCTTAAATTCTTTTCTAAAAAAACTTACTTTTGAAAAAAATTAGTATGCTTCAGATATGCTAGAGGAGACAAAGAAAGAAGAGAATTTGCCCATAACAAGTCAAGAGGTGGAGAGGCAAAAAGAATACTCCCATCCTCACTCCCAACTTTGGCATACTGGTGACAACCATAATCAAAGTGAAATAACCATAACAGAAACAGAGAAATAGAGAAGACTGAATTGGGGCACACAGTTTCAACTCCCAAATGTTTTCCTTTATAAGAGCTTCAAGTATTACATACAATGGAGGCAGGCCTTCACAACTACAACCACATTTTCAGTCTTCTCAAATTTCATTTGAAGTCTCCAAATAATATTTACTAGGTAATTGCTAACAGAAAGGAACATTTCAACCTATGCTCAAAAAAAAAGGTATAAAAATAAATTGTTAAATGCTGGCATTAATTTCCAATAGGATTATCCCTTTAATTATTATCAAGCATATTAATTATTTATATAATTAGTATGCTAACTATTGTCACATGACAAACATTTTCTAATTAGGTCATTTAAAATAATAATGGACTTTCTTTTTTAAATAGCGTGATAAATTCACAATTCTTGAAACTAAAAGTTCTGCAAGAAGATATGGTCCACATATACAAGGGAATATTACACCTCCATCAGAAAGGATGAATACCCAACTTTTGAATCAACATGGACGGGACTGGAGGAGATTATGCTGAGTGAAATAAGTAAAGCAGAGAGAGTCAATTATCATATGGTTTCACTTACTTGTAGAGGATAAGGAATAACACAGAGGACACTGGGAGTTAGAAAGGAGAAGGGAGTTAGGGGTAATCAGAGGGGGAGACAAACCATGAGAGACTGTGGACTCTGAGAAACAAACAGGGTTTGGGAAGGGAGGGTGTAGGGGGATGGGTGAGGCTGGTGATGGGTAATAAGGAGGACATGTATTGCATAGAGCACTGGGTGTGGTGCATAAACAATAAATCTTGGAACACTGAAAAAATAAAATTAAATTTTAAAAAAAGGATCATAAAAAGCTTAAAGGAAGAACTTAAAGTAAGAAAATATAATTCTGATTCTAAAAAACAAACCAAAAAAAAAGAATTTAGCCTAAAACAATCCAAAAAAATCAACAGCAACTGAGTAAATAAGGCACAGTCATTTCTGAAACCAAGGAAATCAATCTTCTCCTGGCATTGGTTTATAGTTTTAAGAAGAAACAGAGGGGCGCCTGGATGGCTCAGTGGTTTAAAGCCTCTGCCTTCGGCTCAGGTCATGACTCCAGGGTCCTGGGATCGAGCCCTGCATCGGGCTCTCTGCTTATCGGGGAGCCTGCTTCCTCCTCCTCTCTCTCTCTGCCTGTCTCTCTGCCTACTTGTGATCTCTGTCAAATAAATAAATAATAATAAAAAAGAAGAAGAAGAAACAGAGAATACTAGTACTCTTTTTCTTAGATTGTCCATTGTATTAAAAATGTACATTTCCGGGGCACCTGGGTGGCTCAGTGGGTTAAGCCTCTGCCTTCGGCTCAGGTCATGATCTCAGGGGCCTGGGATCGAGCCCCACGTCGGGCTCTCTGCTCAGCGGGGAGCCTGCTTCCCCTTCTCTCTCTGCCTGCTGCTCTGCCTACTTCTGATCTCTCTCTGTCAAATAAATACTCCCTTCCACTGTTAAAAAAAAAAAAATGTACATTTCCTAGTTCCTTATTCTTGAAATCCAAGAAATGTACCCCAATTTGGAATAAAATAAAACCTGGTCTAAGTTGCACTTTACATTATTTTATATGTGGAATTGACTAAAATCACTATTATTATAATATTCCAACATCCTGATATTTGTCATACTTAACAAGTTTGAAATCTGCCTATTGTATATTTTATTCCATTCCCCTCTTGGAATAGTGGAGTTACAGCAAGCCCATATACCCATAATATGCTGGCCATGGGCCACAGAGTGGTAGCAGGAGTGACACTTCTAATAATGACATCTAATGACCCATTACTATTTTTTGCTTTTTGTCCTCTAGGTGCTAGTATTCTGTAAGTTTTAAGAACCCAGGAAAGAGAAATAAACGTTCCACTGAATTGGAAGTTGAGACCTTCAACTGGCCATTCCAGGTTCTGTGCACTAGAAAGCAAAATAAGGAGTATATTGGCTGAGGTGATTAACCCTGACCAGGACTGAGAAACAGGACTAAGGAAAGCCATGCACTGCAGTGGGATGGAACACGGAGAAACCCTGCAGAGCTTCCTCAAACTATAATGCCCACTGAAAATGGCAAGAGCAAGTTTATTTAAAGGTTTGAGAAGGAAGCCTGTGAATCAAGAGCTCAGACCCCTTAGAACTAAAGATTCTGGTTACCACATCAGGCTGAAAACTCCACCAGATAAAGTCCCTCTAAAGAGACAGGGAACACAGAATGAGTAATGAAAAAATCTTAAACTATCTATAGCTTCAGATCAGTTACATAAACTAACAAGTCCCTATCTGCATTTCCTTGTTTCCTACATCACTTTCTTTCATTTCCCCTCTCTTTTTTTCCCTCTTCTATTGTAAAATGGCAACACTAATAATGGATAAAAGTTCTAAGATGCTACCTATAATTAAGCACTACTCTAAAATGCTTACTAATGAATGTAACTCTTACAAAAGGTCCACAAACTTAGTATCCCTAGTATCCCTAAAGCTCAAAGAGATTAAGTAGTTAAGATTAAGTCTACCTATTTTGAAATCTGTCTGAACTAGTATGTAGCAGAGACAGATTTCAAATACAGGTTGTCTACTTTAGGAGCCCACACTACTAACCACTTCTTTATAATATCTCATGTTATATTTACTTACCATTTAATCTATAGGTTGCAGAATAATGGAACAGGAATGTGAAAAAAACAAAAGTAGAAATGGCCTTAATCTAAAGATCCATTTGGTAGTGACAATGTAATATCATCTCTGAATGCAATAGCTAGACCTTAGTTTAGCTCCTTCAGGGAAGTTATATTTGAAAATTATACATAAAATAATTGTGTTTTTTAAATAGTATATGTGGGAAGAAGAATTATATGCATATGTAGTACACATGAGAGAGAAGAGAACTGGGCAGTCAAGGGATAAACTGTAATGGTAATCTATTGTTTTTTATCTGTCCAGCATCCCATCCATTATCTTCCCATAACAGCATCCACATTCACCATTGTTAGAGCAATCAAACTTCCCCTATACTTTGTGGTTTTAGAGAAGCTTCCAAAGACAGGATTCCCTATCCCAGGAATGACTGGGCCAAACAGATTCTCCCTACTAAGAATTTTAATCCTAAATGGAGTCACACATAAAAAAATGGAAGGGCGTTATAGAATTAAGTTATCTAATGGCAGTTCCTGATTGCAGTTCTTACTATTGAAATACCTGGAATTGTCTTAGTCCTGTCCATCCTTAAGACTTAACTATACAAGGGTGCCTGGGTGGCCCAGTGGGTTAAGCCTCTGTCTTTGGCTCAGGTCATGATCTCAGGGTCCTGGGTTCGAGTCCTGCATCTGCATCTGGCTCTCTGCTCAGCAGGGAGCCTGCTTCCCCCCTCTCTCTCTCTGCCTGTCTCTCTGCCTACTTGTGATCTCCCTGTCAAATAAATAAATAAAATCTTTTTAAAAAAAGGACTTAACTATACAATTAATCCTTCAAGCCCATAAGCCACCCAAATACCTTTCCTATAAATACTATTATAAATCTAGTATCTCTCTTAAAAATCTATTTTATTGTTTCTAAGCAAAAACTCCTAACTGAGAGAATGGTTGCTATTACCAACTCAGGAAGTCTAACGCAACAATTAAGGCATCAATGATAGCACCTGGGCCTCCAACAGAGGAAATAAAGATCTGCTAAGCTCAATTAGGAGTCATTATGTATGAAGACAAAATTAATGTGAAAAGGGTAAAAGATGATATTCACAATTATGAAGATATTGGAGTTATATCCACTGTTTCTGAACATGAATGGATCATCAAAGATATTCTGGTCATAGACTCTCAAGACTGTTTAGGAGCCAGATGAGGCAATGACAGTAGCTATACCTTAAGAATATGCACACAAACTATTTTTAATTCTACTGCCATCCTCCATCTACATATCTTGATCATCTGCACAGCTTTCATGCACCATAATTCATTCAATAGTCCTATTCTCCCATTCAAGAATCTCAAGAACCATGAAGCACGTAACAATGTTTTATGTCTTATAGAATACATAGAAAAATGGAGAACATCCAACCAGGCAATCAACAATAAACACTTTTAATTTTCTCATGTTCTAATAACAAAATATAGATTAAAAGGAGAAAGAAGAGGATATGAAGGGAAAAGAAAATATGACAAATGACATATTAGTCTAGGAGAGGAGGGAAGTATAATTCTTATTAACTCTAACAACTATAATAACTATTATAAATTTACCTGTGCTTCTGAAACATTATAGTGTCCTGGCCCTGGAACAGCTTTCTCAGTGTTAGAGGCAACAGTAAAAGTACTTTCTCTGGCAGCCAAAGAAAGGAATGGTGCGTAGCCACCTATAAAAGTAAAATCATATCACTGGAAGATAAGATAGGGTCCCAGTGATTTCAGATAAAAAGCATTCAAAATATATAAAATCATTTAGTAACCTCAACTGTGGAGACTATATTATCAGAACTAATGACTAGCCACAGAAGTTGCTGTATTTTTTAAAATTCTGATTAACAGCAGAACATTTATTAACATATATTAAATAAAAGAACTTACAGAACTGGAAGTCCCAAACAACAGAAAAAAATACTTAAAGAAATAAAAAGCAAAAGCCTTTTTTCCTCTAAGAATATTTGGTTGAGATGAAAACAACAGTTATGTTTAGTTAACAAAATATTTTCATCCTCAGAAGACCAGTATTTTACATTTTGGAGCAACATCTATTATTTACAGAGAATAGCATATATAAAGTTGTGGCGACAACTTAGATTGAAATAATTTAAATTTACTTTACAGCAAGTAATTAATAATGTCTCTTTGCTTTGGTACATAGTTGGTACTCGGTAAGTATTTCTTGACTGCCTGACCCCAAAGGTTTACAAATCCAAGATACAAATTTCTTTGGAACAAATAATCATAAAATTAGACAAACTTGATAAACTTAGTAGACAGACTTAGTCTTCCAAAAGACTGATTAAAAAAAAAAAAAAAAACAAGAACTGTATCAAGAAAATGAGTATAATTTAAGCAACACAAATATCACAAAAGATATGGGAGAGAACAGAGCAGTTATCTTTAATGGGTAATAAAAAGAATAAAAGTGAGGAAACAAAATTTGTGAGACTCTTATACACTAAAGGAAAATGTACACTACTGTCAGAATATATGGCAATAATTACTACAGTTTACTAATCTGGGCTAATAATAAAAAACAATCTTTCTGAAATAGGAAATAATGTGTTTCTTTTGAAGCCCACATTTACTAAAACGCAACTGAAATCAAGAATTATTTCTTTGTTATATCACTAAAAACCAGCAAACTATGAAAGAGAAAAAGACAAGAATGGATCAGAGAAAATCTTCAGAAACAACCACAAAACAAGAAAAAGATGGTAATAAATATATATCTATTAGTAATTACTTTGAATATAAATGGACTAAAAACACCTCAGTCAAAAGACATAAGGTGACTGAATAGATAAAAAACAAGACCCGTGTATACGCTGCCTGGAAAAGACTCACTGCAGACCTAAAGACACCTACAGAATGAAAGGGAAGGGATGGAAAAACATTTATCATGTGAATGGATATCAAAAGAAAGCCAGGGTAGCAATAGTTATATTGTACAAAATAAGCCTATAACAAAGACTGTAACAAGAGACAAAGAAGGACACTATCTAATAATAAAACGGACAATCCAACAAGAAAATATAACAAATATGTGTGCACCCAACATAGGAGCACCCTAATACATAAAACAGTTAACAACAAGCATAAAGGAAATAATGCATAGTAATACAATAATAGTAAGGGACTTTAACACCCCACTTACACTGATGGACAGATCATCCAAACAGAAAAACAACAAAAAAACAATGACTTGAATGACACACTGGACCAGATGGATTTAACAGCTATATTCAGAACATTCCACCCTAAAATAGCTGAATACCCATTTCTTTTAAGTGCACATGGAACATTTTCCAGAATAGATCATATATGAGGCCACAAAACCAGTCTCAACATATTTAAAAAGAAAAAATCAAAGTCGTACTATGCTTTTTTTCCTGACCACAATGTTATGAAATTAGAAATCAACCATAAGAAAAAAAATCTAGAAATAGCACAAATACAGGGAGGTTAAATAACATGCTATTAAACAATCAATGGGTCTACCAAGAAATGAGAAAAGAAATAAAAAATTACATGAAAATGAAAATGAAATGGTCCAAAATCTTTGGGATGCAGAAAAAGTGGTTCTAAGAAGGAACTTTATAGCAACACAGGCTCACCTCAAGAAGCAAGAAAAATCTCAAAGAACCTAACCTTACACCTAGAGGAGCTAGAAAAAGAAGAATAATCAAAATCCAAACCCAACAAAAGGGTGGAAATAATAAAGATTAGAGTAGAAATAAATCCTATAGAAACTAAAAAACCAAAAGAACGGGTCAATGAAAACCGGAGGCTGGTTCTTTGAGAAGAAAAAAAAAAAATCAATAAAATTGATAAACCTCTAGCCAGAATTATCAAGGAAAAAAAAGAGAAAGGACTCACAAAAAAAAAAAAATCACAAATGAGGAGAAATAACAACCAACACCACAGAAATACAAACAATTATAAGAGAATATTATGAAAAACTATATGCCAACAAATTAGAAAACCTAGAAGAAAAGAATAAATTCCTAGAAACATAAATACAAAAACTGAAACAAAAAGAAATAGAGAATTTGAGCAGACCCATGACCAGAAAAGAAATTGAGTCAGTATTCAAAAACTCCAAACAAACGAAAGTCCAAACCAGATGCTTCAGAGGGGAATTCTACCAAATTTTTAAGGAAGAGTTAATACCTATTCTTCTCAAACTATTCCAATAGGAAAACTTTCAAATTCATTCTATGAAGCCAGCATTACCCTGATACCAAAATCACCACAAAAAAAAAAAAGAGCACTACAGGTCAATATCTCTAATGAACATAGATGTAAATATCCTTAAAATACTAGCAAACTGAATCCAACAATATGTTTAAAAAAAAAAAAATCGTTCACCACGATCAAGTGGGATTTATTCCTGAGTTGCAAGGGTAGTTCAGTATTCACAAACCATTCAATGTGATACATCATACCAATAAGAGAAAGGATAGGAACCATATGATCATTTCAATAAATGCAGAAAAAAGCATTTGACAAAGTACAATATCCATTCATAATAGAAGTCCTTAACACAGTGGGTTGAAAGGGAACATATCTCAGTCTAATAAAGGCCATATATGAGAAATTCACAGCTAACATCATCCTTGATCATGACAGATTCACATCTCTCCCCCTAAGGTCAGGAACAAAACAAGGATGTGCACTCTCACCACTTTCATTCAATATATACTGTAATCTTAGCCACAGCAATCAGACAATACAAAGAAATAAAAGGCACCCAAATTGGTAAGGAAGATGTAAAACTTCCACTATTTGTAAATGACATGATACAATATATAGAAAATCCTGAAGACTCCACCAAAAAACTGGTAAAACTGATAAATGATATTCAGTCAAGTTGTAGGATACAAAATCAATCTATAGAAATCTATTGCATTTCTATACACCACTAATGAAGCAACAGAAAGAGAAATCAAGAAAAAAATCCCATTTGCAACTGCACCAAAAATAAGATACCTAGGAATAAACTTAACAAAAGCAGTGGAAGACCTGTACTCCAAAAACTATAAAACATGGATTTAAAAAAATTGAAAATGACACAAAGAAATGGAAAGACATTCCATGCTCATGGTTGGGAAAATAAATATTGTTAAAAAGTCTACGCTACCAAGAGCAATCTATGCAATCCCTATCAAAAGACCATCAACTTTTTTCAAAGAGCTGGAACAAATTATCTTAAAATTTGTATGGAAGTGGAAAGATCCTGAAAAGCCAAAGGAAAGTTGAAAAATTAAACCAAAGCTGGTGGTACCAAAATCTGACTTCAAGTTCTATTATAAAGCTGAAGTCATCAAGACAGTATGGTATTGGCACAAAAACAGACATATGGATCAATGGAACAGAATAGAGAACCCAGAAATGGACCCTCAACTCTATGGTCAACTAATCTTTGACAAAGCAGTTAAGAATGTCCAATGGAAAAAAGACAGTCTCTTCAACAAATGTTGTTGGGAAAACTGGACAGCCACATGCAGAAGAATGAAACTGGACCATTTCCTTACATGACACACAAAAATAGACTCAAAACGGATGAAAGACCTCAATGTGAGACAGGAACCCCTCCAAATCCTTGAGGAGAATACACAAAGCAATGTCTTTGAACTTGGCCGCAGCAACTTCTTGGTAGGCATGTCTCCGAAGGTAAGGGAAACAAAAGCAAAAATGGGATTATTGGGACTTCATCAAGATAAAAAGCTTTTGTACAGCAAAGGAAACATTCAACAAAACCAAAAGACAACCAACAGAATGGGAGAAAATATTTGCAAAAGACATATCATATAAAGGGCTAATATCCAAAATCTATAAAGAACTGATCAAACTCAACATCCAAAAAATAATAATAATCCAATCAAGAAATGGGCAGAAGACATGAACAGACATTTCGGCAAAGTAGACATCCAAATGGCCAATAGACACGTGAAAAAATGCTCAACATCACTTAGCATCAGGGAAACGCAAATCAAAACCAGTGAGATTCAACCTCACACCAGTCATAATGGCTAAAATTAATAAGTCAGGAAATGACAGATGTTGGTTGGCAAGGATGCAGAGAAAGGAGAACACTTCTACACTGTTGGTGGGAATGCAAGCTGGAGCAACCACACTGGAAAACAGTATGGAGGTTCCTCAAAACGTTGAAAACACAGCTACCCTATGACCCGTAATTGCACTACTGGGTATTTACCCCAAGATATAAATGTAGTGATCCGAAGGAGCATGTGCACCCCGATGTTTACAGCAGCAATGTCCACAATAGTCAAACTGTGGAAAAAGCCCAGGTGTTCATCTACAGATAAATGGATAAAGAAGATGTGGTATCTATATACAATGGAATACTGCCCAGCCATCAAAAAAAAGGAAAGAAAAAGAAAAAAAGAACTCTTGTCATTTGCAATAACATGGTTGGAACGAGAGGGTATTATGCTAGGGGAAAGAAGTCAATCAGGGAAAGACAGTGACCATATGATCTCATTGATATTTGGAAATTAAAAAACAACACAGAGGATTATAGGGGAAGAGAGATAAAAATAAAAGAAGATGATTTGGGACGCCTGGGTGGCTCAGTGGGTTGGGCCGCTGCCTTCGGCTCAGGTCATGATCCCGGCGTCCTGGGATCGAGTCCCACATCGGGCTC